CACATGCTGAAAATTTCATACTTGTATCAAAAATACTGTGTGGAGTCAAGCTATAATAAATATATATCTGTATATACCGCAGTATGTCTAGCATACAAATCTTCCGGAAGACCTTGATCAAACCTGAAGCCAATCAAACCCCAGCAGATCAGAAATTGAAAATTAATCTCATGCTGACTAGTTACTAATGACAGGAAACAGTTGCTTGAAGTTCTATTGTGATGTCATGAACAGTAGGATCCGATAAGATGGGTGTGTGGGCAAAACACTTGTCGATGACATTAGTTGGCGGTGTCACTAAAAATTGAAAAATATCAGACATCATAATTCATGTGCTATTTATTGGATTCCAACAGAGTGACTCAATAGTCAATCAAGTCGCCTCGTAACCTGAAGCTCCTGGATCCCACCTCTGGCAGTATGCTCATGGCTGTGAGCTGACGAAAATACTCAGAAAAGAATGAAACATTTGTTCCACTTAGTAAATTTGAACAAAGCAAGAACTACAGTTTTAGCAAAATAAAGTATACCATCTTTTATTTCGTTGCCTTCTCGTCAGCTGCTTACAGGGCAAAGACATTATTAAATATATCTACAAAAAAAATTTTAACATACTTGCACAGAGTTCATTTTGAACAAAAATCAATCGATCAGTATGTGCATACAGTAATAATATATACATATATATATGCAATATTAAATACTATTCTGAACAATAATAATCACACACAATGCAAACTTTTCAGCACTGCGCATTCGAATGAAAGAGAGATGAAAGATATCCAGTTACCAGGACAAAGAAAGACTGATAACCGCTTCTTTCTGGACGCATAAATCAGGTTTCAGGCGCTTGATGGAAATAGCTTAAGCAAACTTGAGCTCTTTGGACGATTGATGATTTTGAACGACTTTTTGACGTCCACCTCAAGAGCGGTGTGGAGGAGATGCCTGGCGATGGCATTGTTGAAAGCATTTGTTCCCTTTAGAAGTAAGATTTCAGAAAATGTTCAGAAAATCGGAGGTGTGCCCTTCTTTCTGTTCTCCAAATGTAACTGCTCCCCCAGAACACGTAAATTTGTAAAGACAGTTGGCGTTAACATGAAAAGGATATCTATCGGTGTTTGGTTGCATCAAAGAGCAAGTTGTTCGAGAGACGGGAACGAGCTAAGCTGCAGGATAGCCTATGGCTAGTGATGTGCTCAGTCTTCTGTTAACCATTTCTGCGATTTTTTCATCTTTAAAATCTAGTTGAATGTAGGCAGGCTAGTTTCAACTGTGATTTGTTTGGTATTTGAGCCCTCACATCTGCCATATTTGTTAATGAATGTTTTCAAGAATCGTCAATTATTCCTCTAGTTTCTCTGCAGAGCATATTCTTCTCCCTCTATAGTACAGAGTCTTGACTAGTGCTCGTTTTAAGCTATTTGGACAAAAACTATTAAAATGTAAGTGTTGTCGGTTCCATGTGGGCCTTCCGTAAATTGACCTCTGGAAACTACCATCCTCTAGGCGTTGCTTGGCGACGTCAAGGAAACGGAACTTTCTATCATTTTCATGTTCCATTGTAAATACAGTATTTGTTTGTGCGTTGTTGAATAGTCTGAGTAGGTAGGAGGCATGACTTTCGTTGTTGCCCACTACAAATGTGTCGTCGACTTTACTCTTCACAAACCACTGTTGTTTTTGCTTTATGCGAACTTTCCTATCTAATAGATTTTCTTGCCTACTTTTTCAATAACTGTTCACAGCGACAACTACAGCGCCACGACACCATCGACAACCGACGTAAGGCAAGAGGAGGAATACAGACCACTGACAAGAGATCTTTTACTCTATCGAATCCTCAATGAAAAACGCCTTGAAAGCAATTCCACATATATATTTTTCAAATGAAGCAGAGTGACACTAATTCCATTGATAAGTTAAAACAGCCAACAACCAATAGGGTTCAACTGTCATGTGGGCGGAAAAACAAATACCGTGGTACTGTAAATAAGGGAATTAGTTTAAGTCTTTGGGAAAATTAGGTGTATATAAGAGATATGCAAGAATTGACTCCCCTCAAGAAGTTCAATCTGTGTAAACAGCTGTAATAATTTTGGCGTCCCAAAGAAGCCGTGGGAAAACTTCACACTAGTCCTTGTTTTTGGAAAATAAGTGATTGCATTTCGGAGCAATGAACACCATTAACGAAATCACATGAGTTTCTTTGGGAGTTAGAGAAAGTAAAGGAAGAGTATATGGTAATACATGTACATGTAAACTGACTACCAGTCACGAAGGTGGTTGTCGGGAAACACAATTATCTCATTCATGGAGAATTCCAATGAGTTCATTTTATGCTGAAACTTCCACGGAAGATGTTTTCCAGAAGGACGATGAAAGTTTAGCAGTTAAACCAACCACCTCAGAGGATATATGGCTAATTCCGAATCATCTCACTGAGCTACACACCTTCTGTATTATTATTTCAACATGTACTCTCTGTAATTGCCATGCTGATCCCACGCTTTATGATCACGGCATTCGTAAATCTATTAATATCCTTGCTGCTACACTTAATCGAAATCTTAATTAAGGTATGAACTGGGTCTGCTTAACATTTCACAATGACTCATAACCATGGAACTGAGGATATCTTGTTGTCATCTGATTTGTTGATGTTTATGCAGAAAAGATCCTATGTGAAATGTCTGTCCTCCAGTATCCTGAAAACTTGTATGAGTGACACCCACATAAGAACACATTTGTGAGTTTTGGTGCAAATAATCAATATCGGTAGGGATGATAGGTATCCTCTACAGCCAATAAAAAATAACAGCCCAATGACAAGGAATTGAGTGTTAACTATCAAGAATGTCTTCTTTACTCCACACCTGTCGAACATCTTCACTCTTGGTGACTGCGAACTACGTACGGAATCATATTGATTTAGAACCTCACTCTACCCATACCTTCATTCGAAGTTGTGAAGATATATATAAAAGTAGGGCTAATCGATTATCTGAATATCGTCAGCAAGAACACCTTTCCTAGTGATTACTATGGCATGCAACTAAATGCGTTTAATCCCAACAAATTTATTGATGTTAAGCCATAAAATTGCAAACTGTATGCTGATTAAGTTGCAACTTTACGCATTATCACTGGACAGAGTAGAGAATGTTAGTCAAATCGCTATCCCAAACAACTTCATCGACTTCGAAGAAGCCTTCAGTGACGTTGACCGCGAAGCAATTCGGAAACTACTTCACCAATTTGCAATGCACTAAATCTTCACCGACCTCATTCAACAGCTATATGACAATGCCGCCTGTCACGTGATCTACAACGTAAAACTCAATGAAGCCGGTGAAATGAAGACACAAGTAAGAAAAAACTGGCTACTATCATCAATGACAAACCTAATTCTGGTGGACTGGATTATGCGGAAGACTGTGGAGAGTAAGAAGACAGGAATACGTCAGACCGATAAGAAGACTCTAGAAGATCTAGATTTCGCCAACGATTTATGTCTGATATCACACAAACTCGAAGAATTACAGGCGAAAACCATCAAACTGGAAGAAGAGGCAGACAGTCAAGACGGAACTTCAGATAATCATACAGAAGACGAATTTGATAAAGATAACCTACTGGAAACTACAACAAGAATAGCCAGTACCAATCATTGTTAAATTATGCGATTTGAAAGAGGCTACTTCCTTCAATTATCTAGGAAGCATCTATTCAACTACAGGCGATGGCACCGACTAATATGTCAACACCAGCCAGCCAGAATCGGGAAGACAAGATGCACCTTCGTCAACCTGAAACCGGATTGGAAATCTCCTGCACTCAACCAGCATATAGAAGAAGATTCAGACTCTGTTCAACACAAATGTGAAGTCATTCAGTCCTTCTATACAGGTCAGTGTTTCACGAAATGGATTTCCAACAGGTTACTGCAGACTTTTATCAAAAGCTACCCTCTTCATTGGCTCCATACTGAAGATCGGATATCAAGAAACAGTCAACTACAATGATGTCTGGAAACGAAAGAATCAATAATCTGTTGCTCATATAATATGCAGAAGAAAGTGGAGATGAGCTAAACACACGCTGAGGCGATAGTTGCTTGTAAAACCATGCGCATCAGCAAAGGCATCGAATTGAACCTGAATAGGAATCAATGAGTTTGGTATGGATCCGAGGGGGAAACAGACTAAATAGTCTGAGTAGGAAGTGAAACTTCACGGTCATTCGTGGAGTCAGCTAAACAAGGACTGCATAGTAAACAGTGAAATCCAGATGTGGTGTTGAAAGCCTAAGTTCCAATCAGAACCCTACAGCATTATAACAAAATATATGATGCCAATAGTCATAAAATCAATGCAAATGATTACTCCTCAATTATTTCACATATAATTATAGTTCAGCGGTTATTAAAATAAGATGGAAATAAAAATGGAGAAATCACATTTTTCCTAAATTATACGTGTGTTTATAAATCAATAGATTTTCGACCAGAGTCTATCCGAGGTCAAACTGCTTGACCTATTTATATTTTGATGGATGTCCTTTTATCCCATATAATTAGTTACTTGTCAAACCTATTATTTTTATCATTGCACCGCTATTGTAAAGAAACTAAGCACTGGCATTATCCTGTGAAATTATCAAAGCGTTAAACTGCTTCTCATTGGGTCATAGTTTTACGAATCAACCCTGCGTCGAATCAATGCAACAACATCAAAACCTCTATAGAGTTTTCAATATTGTCTTTAATTATTGTGATTTAATCGAATTTATTCTTTATTTTTTTTTTGTCTGATCATGGTAAAATGCTAAAGACATTTATTCCCTGCATTATTCTAGAATAAGTTTGTAGATATTATGATAAAGGTGGAAAGAAACAGGGTCGCTACGCATTAACCAATGAAATGCAAGTGGAAACTGACCAATCAGATTTACAGCAATGATGAATTAACTAACATTAACTAACTGGCATTTGTACAAAGCAAAATTTCCGTTTCATATCACAAATTTCTTCAATTCAAGCTTATTCTTTAGTTAATAGTAGTAATGATAATAACATGCCATGAATATATACATGTTGCTTATCCTTTCAAATCAAGTTTTACATAATTATCAAGATTTTGTAAATGTAAATGTAAGTTCTGTGGTTTGTGTTACTATGGTTTTGAACATTTTTATTGGATGCTTTTAGAGTACTCAGTGTTTAGAGGTCTTTAAGCAATTTATTTTGTTTGATTGGTTGGAGGATTTCGTCATGAGCTGACATCAGTTAGAGAACCGACGGAACACCACCACTGCAGTAGTGGACAGCAATTTCCGTTGTCCTGGTTCGGGACTCTACATCAGTACGCACCCACACCACAGGGTTCGAACCCAGGAACTTCTGGACCCCGGTGGGTGCGTACTTCTGAAGAGTCTCAAACTAGGTTGACGAAACGGCTGTCCATTATTCCCTGCAGATTTTCCAGTGGTTCTCCGACTGATGTCAGCTCATGATGAAATCCTCCATCCAATCAAACAAGATCCTTACAAAACCAATACTTGAAAATTTATTCTGTACCTGCGTTTTTCTATTCCTTTACGTTCCGAGTGGAACATTGCGCTTTTAAGTTCCGGTAGCAGTGGTTTTATTTTTAAGAGGGGAGGCTGCTAACCTCACTCGCGCCAAACCTTCCCTCCTTACTGGCCTTAGTACCAAATTAAGGAGGTTAATAAGTGCGTTGGTGGTTCAGGGTGAGATCCCTAGTCCGATAGATGACAGGAAAAGATTCTTCATTGTTGAATTTGTGGACTGTTTGGAGACAAGATTACCTAAGGTCGAATTGTTAATGGCCATTTCTGCATCATTTATTTAGCCAAACTGGTAGGCGTTCCTAAGAACCAAAAATTGGTCTCTTAGAGGAACAGCCTATATGACTGGCTTCAGAGGCGGTTAAATTTCTGTATTCGAGAACAGTTGCTAGTTTGGTTAGAAAGGGTGGGTGGTGGGTCACAACTAATGCATCTTCGTAAATTTCTAGGGATTATTCAAAGATCCATTAAGTACCTAATGATGAAATGTGTAGTGATGATTGGAAAGAAGACTGTCTCATATCATGTATTATATGCGAGTAATTGTAGTTATGCTCTGAACTCAGGCGACTGATCCTTGCGTTCTACTGCACAGCTGGCAAAACTTCCATAATATAAGCACTTACACAGTTACGAAAGGCTCCAAAGGCAAGAAAAAAAATGATTATTCATTGAATAATTTTGCAGTTAGGAATTAAAATGTCTTAATAAACAGGGGAACGGATAAAACTCAAACAAAGTACCATCAAATTACTGAGAAGATTGACATATTGTGTAACTGGGGGTTAAAAATGTAGAAATAACAAAAACAGACACGGCCACTACCATCATAAACAGGTAATTCTTTTTTTAATAGTGACTATTCCATTACCTTTCTTATCCAAACTTCCTATTTATTCGTGTTATTTTTAAGTTTTTCTCAACCCCTATTTACACTACCATATTTTCATATCCGAACTTCCCGCCTATTTTGCTATTTCTAAATTTCTAACCCCCAATTACATAATATGTCAATCTTCTCAGTAATTATGATGCTACTTTGTTTGAGTTTTAACCGTCCCACCGCCTGTTTATTATGAAATTTTGCAGTTCTCTTAAACAATATGAACATCAAGAACTCAAGATTATCTCAACAGTGCCGTTAGGCAGCTACAGAATCAAGGTTCTTGTCAAAGTACAATGTTCCCAACAAGGTGAGTTCAGAACCTGTGTCCACAAGAATCACAAACACGAACAATTCTTACAAGCAGTTCAATGTCAGAATCACCTTGATTCATCCAAATAAAAAAACCTAGCAAAACAACAGATTATCAGTGTATTGGACAGCGACAAAGGGAAGCACTAAAATTAGAGATTAAACGTGTATAAAGACAAATAATCAGAATTAAGTTAACAAGTGCATGTGATGTGCAAATATCAAAATAAAGATATACACTCAAGGAGAAAAAAGGATGATAATTCCAAAGTTATTTAGAACTTCCAAATAAGTTGGAGGATTTTATCATGAGCTGACATTAGTTAGAGAAACATTGGAACACCGGCTGGAAGTACTTGACGACTGTTTCATCCTAGTTTCAGACTCTTCAGTAGTACTCATCCACCACCAGGGTTCTCACCCAGAACCTTCTAGTTACAAGGTGAGCTAGGTCGTATACCATTAAACCACAGCGACCCTATCCAATGACCATCGCATAAATTCTAACTTCTACCAATTCATGACAGTGCGACCACTTTGTGATGTCAGCTCTTCATGAAATCCTCCAAACAATGAGAATGATATTGTTGAAAAGAGTGACTCTTGAATAAAATTCCCATTTTCCTTTCTAAACCAAATTACCCAAACTAAAGCACATGATCTACTCGATAGCATAAATTTCTGGAGAGAAATAAAGGTTTTGCCTGTGGCAAAGTTATCTTCTGCGTCAGGTGTGAAGTCTAGGCCAATCTCCATCACGTCTCCATTTCTGAAAAATATGGAGAAACGTCGCTTGCGTGTTCTTAAACCTTCTTTGAAACTTTTAATGATCCAAAGCAGTTTGTTTACAAACACTGTCGTTGTACTTCAACACAGTATTGCTTCAATTCTTCACAAGAGCGGAAAGTTTGTTCTAGCCTCCATTTTAGGCTAAACCGCTGCTTTTGACTCTATTCCTATGGTACTTTTAATAAGGAAAGTGATTTCAGCAAATATTGAGTCCAGCTGAGTCACAAGGTGGCTGGCTGTCTTCTTGTTTTCAGGGTAGAAAACAACATCTAACCATTTCTGCTTTGCATTGTTCTTTCATGAAAAGATTCTTGTCTGAAGCTAATAAATGGTCTCACCTAATTGGTATTAAACCAAATCCACCTAAATCTCATATTGTCGGTTTTAGTTTCAAATGCGGCGAAGACTCGCATGCGTGGACTGATTGATTCAGTAACATGATCCCTGTAATAATGCCGGCACTATCATGACAGGGAGTAAATACACTGTCGCTCATCTCGACATCAGTTCCTCTTCGAATCTCTGTTGATCCTCTCACATACAGCTGATTTCAAAAGAATGTTTTCGTTTGACTTATTACATCAAGAAGCTGAAAGCTTCTGCCAGCATATCTCAAACTTACCTACTTTTTCTTAAAATTTATGAATTCGTGTATTCTGCCCATTGTCCCTTGTTGTTCGCCCCACTCATTCTTCCCTGAACTTCTCAGGAAACACTGAAGACTGTAATTAGGGTTAGTGTTGTATGCCTTTGACTCAGAGAACTGACATTATTGCTATTGACAGGCACTTCAGTTCTTGCAGGTGGTTAGCTAAAGTTATGTTAATATATGTATAAAACTTGGGCACTGTGGTAGTGAGTAATTCCATATTAGTTTGTTTATTAGATACATCCCACAGTGAGTGAAACAGTATTATTTACTGGATGACGTTTCCAACAAAATTTATTGTTCATAATCATATCAATCGTAATCATACGACTTTGAAACTTGAGTTTTATAGTTTTGTTTGTTCTCTCCTATTTGTCGTCATTGGGGTGGTAGAATTTTCCAGATGTCTGGGTGGACAAGTGTTGAATCATTCCTATCACACGTGTTGGCTCACAGTTGATTCGATAAACAAAGCTTCCATTATCAATCTCTCCCTCCACCCTGTGACATTAGATTTTAAAACTGCGTATTTGCATAAAACTATGCTATAACTCTTCTCTGAACACTTCCTCTTCTTTTATATACCTTAATCATACGGATTTCTAAGCTAATTCTTCATATTTATTGAATGGTAGTAGGTTCTTAACAGATGTTTAGTCACTAGAGTGGGTTCCTTGTCGGTTATTCCTTCTGCAGTTTACGGGTGGATAAAACACCGAAAGCCTAGCTACAGGACTTTCTGCCAACGGTTTCAAACTGCCTGTCCTCCTTTCTTGAAGTTATCATTTGCTGATATCTGGCTGATTACATCTCTGTACAGATAATTTGTCAGTCTAATGTTAAAAGGAATCACATTAGAATACAACCATATCACTAAAGCTAACCACTACGTCTTTTATGCGAAGAGTACAATTCATCCGGGCTAAACGTAAATGAAATTTAATATTTAAAGCCTGCTTTCCAATCGATTAATGCCTTGGTGAGCAATCAAGAATAGGGCTATGTGTTCACTGAATGAACGAATAGTTGATCTAAAGGACTTTAGCATTGAACTATTTAGACTTTGAACGACTGTCTTCAAGTGAAGTGGTTTTTCTGATTGTCATCAGTGTAAGTGTGTGTATGTGTGTCACTGTGTGTTCACACTAGTATCTATTGTGTTTCCAAGTCCTGCTTATTTACAGGATTTTAGTATTAGCTGACACTGATTAGAGAACCATTGGAAAACCAGCTGGGAGTACTGGACTGCTGTTTCGTCTCAGTTTGGGACTCTTCATCGTTGCGAACCCACAGTGCGGGGTTCGAACCCAGGACGTTCTGGTCACAAGGCGAGCTCGTAGACCATTAAGTCACTGGGACCCGATCCAATGGCCAGTGCAGGAATTCTAACTTCCGCCAATTCACGACATAGCGTGACCACTAGCCAATGTCTTCAGCGAGTAATTGTCTTCACACCCGACCAGCTACACCTTACTGGTCACGACTTCTCACTAGAACCCTGCTTATCTAAGAACTCAAATTACTTAATATCCAGTTGGAACTTCAGTTCTATAGTTTTCTTTGTTCTCCCCTATTTGTCGTCGTTGGGGTCGTAGAACTGTCCACATATCTATTGCACATGTTTGCAGTTGATTTGGTAAATAAAGCTTCGGTTATCAATCTCTCCCTCCATCCTGTCACATTAGATTTTAAAACTGTCATCTTATCCCATCCATCCTATTGTATGGTTATGTACTATTGCATGTAGTGCTATTGCTGAACTATTCTCCAGGTATCTTATCTTATTTGGGTCAACTAATCTAGATTTTGCTGCTAGGTTTTTATGCTCCACTAGTCTAATAACCAAACTAATATGGAATTACTTACTACCACAGTGCCCATATTTTACTCATGTACTAATACGACAAAGTTTATCCCTGAGAGATTTAGG